TAAGAGGGCTTAGCAGCCACACTGCACAACTCTTCATCTCCTCACCAGGAGACATTGTTTCTGCTGAGAGAATTTGAAAGTGGTGGTTCTTTGCATGTAGAAGAGAGTTGTCATCATTCTGGTGACTTGCATAGACCAGGAAAACACAGTTTTTGAAGTAGTGTGTGGCATTTGTTCAATGCCCCTTGAACCTTTATTTATAATTTTTGCCATCTTCCCATGGTGAGGTTTGCTGTAACCTGTATAATTGACCCCTCTGCATGTCATCCACCTACAGCCTATGTTTATTGCATGGTGCCAGCTATCAGATGTGACTGGTTAGTTCTTCCTGCATGTTTTGGCTTCTAGATTGGGTCCTTGACATCTGTGTGCTCTTTCTGTTCTCGCAGCCTTTGACAGTCAAAACAATTTGTGTTTCTGGCTAACAGTCCACAGTTGTTTCTGTGCATTGCTCTGTACTCACTCTGCATTCCTTAGTAGCTTTTTGACAAGTGGTTTGAGGCTCTGTATATAACTCTCAGGTTTGGAATTTTTCTGGTTGGTTTCCTTCTCTCTCTGTAACTGGCTGGCTAGTTTGTAACTGTTGCTTGGCCACCTGGAATTTCCTTCTGGCTTTCTCTTAGTGTAAGGTTTTGTTTTATCTTACAGGACCTGGGTGTGACCAAAGTGGGTCATATGAAGAGGATACTGCACGGGATCAAGGAGCTGAGCCGGAGTACTCCTGCCAGCGAGGCTTAGCCTCTGTTTTCACAGCCTGTGTCTACCACTCTCCCTAACTATACAGCAGTCACCTCATAAAGCAGATGAGCTCACGACTATCTCTGCTGAACAGCCAAATTTTAGCTGTTCAGAATTCATATCAACCAAGCATGGTGCTACTTTTTTCCTGTGGGGTATGGCTGCATCCATTGGAGAGGTAATTCCTCTGTGGCTGGCAGAACCTCCTGGAGACAACTCACTCACTGTTTGAAGAGCCATGTCCTGTGTCGTGGGAAGTTCTGGTTCCAGGTGCAGTGCAGGACTCCTGAGAACTGCAACACATATACTTTTACTGGATAACTTCATCAAACTAGAATCGTTCAGGTCAAAAGCTATATTGGCCATTCTTAATTCAGGAGCATCTGACAGTCTTTTCAGACCCAAAACTTTCCTGCTTATCTGTGTGTCACACCTGTACTTAGCATATTTAAGTGGGACAAAGCCTCTCCTTTCATCTTGCTAATCCCTTTTTAATGCGTCTGTAGTTGTGTGTAATTTGCATCTGAAATTCGAAGCCAGTGCAGACCTCTTCCAATGAATATCAAGTGATTCTCATTCACTCATGCTTTTGCAACACACAGTGTATGTGTTTCAGATGGGGTTTGCACCAGCTGGTGGGGCTTTCTGCTGTGCCTGCTCTCCTCTACCAGCCAGGGGCAATGGTACAGCCTCTAGGTTTTCACCAAAAATGTGGTGCTGAGTCATCACGGACAATTGTTCAGAAATTCCTGGCAGTAAGAAAAGAAAATTCTGGAGAGACAAATGGTTACAGGAGATCAGATCTGACATTCCTTCTTCTGAATTCATCTTTGAGAGACCAGATAAACGGGAGAGGAAAGCTAATGAGCTGTTTGTGCTGCACAAGAAGGGAGATACAGGACAACTTGTTTCATCTTGCAGGAGGGAGCAATATGACTGTCAATGGCCAGGTGTAGCTTCCTGCCTGTTCAGTACCACTTCTGTGGCCACAAACACGAGAGCTGTTTCTTTACTTCAGCTTGCAGTGTACATAACTATTTCTGTCACAAAATATGTGATTTAAGTCTAGTACTTGTATCTTTTCACCCGTCTACATTTCAGTAGCTTTTCCACCATGCTTCTCTTTCTTCTGCCTTGCTCCTTCACTCCAGGGTGATACAAAAGATTAGAGTAGCTCAGTTCTCCTGGGCTGTACCCCTAAAAGATTCCTTATGCTGTCAAACACTGAGGCTCCTGTAAGAACTCTGAGAGAAGGATTGTTACTGAGCAAATGAGCATCATAATGAAAACTGGAATATATTGATAAATTGCCTTTGGTACCAGCAACAGTGGAGCATGGAAAAATTAGTGCCTCTGAATCAGAGTTTCTAGATGGCTGACCTCAGTTGGGTGGCTGTTAAAGCCCAAGACCAGTATGCATAGTTATATCACCATCTTTATCACTGCAGAGGGAATTTGGCAACAGTCAGTGCTATAAAACTTGGGAGACAGGAGAAATTTTTAATTACTCTGTCATTTTCTGTGTATTTATTTTTTTTTTTGTTATTACAGAGGGGCACCAGTCTGACTATGGCTGCAGACAGAAAAGCCCACATACACAGTGGCATAAAAAATAATTTGCTGAGGACATCATTCTTTTTTACTTGTAAGGGTTTTTATCAAATTGATATCACTTCTCTAGTCTAATAACAGTCAGTCAAATTAGTTTATATAAAGATTTGTCAGCTTACAAAGGCTCTGGGCTGATTTTATTTCAGCTGGGCAAACTCCATTGAATTCCCTAGTATTTCACCAGGGGTTATTCTGACTCTGCCTGTCTGTTCTAACCAGACACATCAACCATGTGTCTCTTCCCAGCGTGGCTAATAACAGGGTTTGCTCATGAGAAGGTAAAAGAAGACTAAACATGCTTGATCCAGCTAGAAACACAGTATAAATACTGTGGGGCCTGAGCTGGAAATATGTCCAGCCTTGCTCTGAATGTATTTCTCCTATGTATATGTTGGTAATTGCTTCCATAGCTGAATTTTTATTTATCGGTAAAGACTTCCTCTAACTTTATTGAATTCCTGAGGTATCATGTAAGTAGGAATTGCAAGCATACTGTATTGTCCCACTTGCTTGTTGAGGCACAGAGCAGTGTCTGGATGAAAATGAGGAGAAATCTCTTCAGGAGAGCCTCAGGATGCAGCCATCCTCAGCGGTGGTGTGCAGTGACCTCACAGTGTGTGCATCCCACTGTCTATCCCAGAATTGTGCGTGGCTGGGACATCCATGTGCCTTCCCAGGAGAGTGCAGCAGCGCGGGGTAAGGCAGGTGGTAACTCCAGAGAACAGGTGAGATCTGTGTTTGTTCCTATATGCAGTGAAGGAGCTGTTCTGTGAACTTCCCCCAGCAGTCTAATGGTTAAAGATGCATAAACGATAAGTTCTTGCCTTGCATAATCCTGGCAGGATTAAATTCTTGCTTGCATAGAAACAGCTTATCTCTACTCTTCCTGCCCAGAGCAACAGAGGAATCCAAAGAGTTTTTACATTCAGGTGTGTTCCTTAATTCATGCCATATCTAACAAGACCTGATGGCCATTAGCCATTTGTATGAATGATGAGGCCTGCACAGATGCATTTTCATTTCTTTTGCTTTTTTGATCTGTGTCAATGCCTTCAAATCCTTTTTGTGCATGTGCACATGTATCAATGGGTTGACAGCCACTATATTCCTGTCTTACTTATCAGAGGCAGGAAGGGAGTTCTTCCTTCTTCTAAGAGCTAGAAAACAGGATCCACATTTAACCTGAGTGCCTTTGAATATTTATTAAGGTTTAGATCTATGAAACCACAAAGGGTTGTAGTTCTGTGTGTCTCACTGGGAACAGTGCAGTTTCTGTTGGTGAGATTTTTGTGAATACCTGAAGACAATTTGTCTTGAGCATCAGTGAGTGCTATCTGCAAAGTAGGGAGCCAGGTAGAACAACTGGCTACTGCCTGAGTTTCTCTTCTGGCATCTGATAATTTTTTGTGGGAGAGAAACTCAGAAAAGACAATTAGTAAAAAATATGCTGCTTTGCCAAAAAGAGACTGTCCAGCAGTCTCGGGAGCACCAGCCTGAGAGAAGCTAGAACTGCACATATCATACAGGTGTTTAGCCCCTGAAGAAAAGCAACTCCTGTGAAAGCCATGCAGCACCTTCTGTTTGCATCCCTCACCCCTGGCAGTGGCTGCAGTGAGCTGGGCACTGAGTGAGGGTTTCTTCTGCTTGGAAGAGGCTTCAGTTTGATTTCTCACATTCTGGCACCAACATGGATATGTAATGGCAGATTCTGGGGAATGATGGCTGGGGCCAAGTGAGATTGTGTGCAGTGGAGACTGGAGGGAGGTTTGGCTGTTGGCAGTGCCCTGCCCTGGGCTGCCCTCAGGAGGGCTGGTACAGCCTCTTTGTTGTACCTTGTGGGATGTTGGCAGGAGCCAGCGCAGTGGCCAAGGGGAGCTGTGCCACTGGGTGCTTGGAGGTGCTGGCCTGGTACCTGGGAGCCTCCAGCTGAGGCCTTCAGTACCAGTGCTACGTCTGCTTCTGCACCCAAATTGTATGGAAAGCTTCGATCATTGTTTTAGTGTTATTTTAAAATGTGCATAATAGCGATGTGATTTATAAAATGGACTGTTTACAAGACATATTTTGTATCTTAAGATGTGTGTACTGTAAAAAAAAGGAAATGATGAAAAATGTTTTTCTACAACTGTCAGTAGTGACTGCATGTCTGTATCATTGTCCACCAACTGTTGTTCCTCAGGGGTCTCCCCACCATTCCTGCAATCCTGTTAAAAGCATCGGGAAGCAAGTGAATCCCTGTACAGTCTTGGGAAGAAGGTTTTGTGCCTTAAGAATGGGACCTGCTTCCCTCCTATTTATTTTGTTAATTTATACAGTGATTTCCATGGAAATGTCTCTTGGGATTTTTTTGTACATAGTTTACTTGTTGTAAATATGTTTTACTTGTATATAAAGTAAACCTGTTTCCGAGCTTCCAGTAAGGATTCTCTGTTACTGATTTTGTTGTGAGAGGGCTGCTGTGCCCATCGGATGGGAACCAGCTAATAAAACCTGTGCTGTGATTAAATGGTTTTACCCTGGCTTGCATCAGAAGTTCAGAGCTGTTCCTTAGACCGGAGTGAAACGGTAAATATAAGTGTTGTAGGAAAATGTAAATTTTGTAGCATTTTTTGTGTTGATTTAATTGGCATGGAGTAGAAGGCATCAGGTAGTTTAATTTTTTTAGCTATGTCTTGGAGTGAACAAAAGTTTTAAATGTGGTGCTTCTACTGGTGCTTATCCTGATCAAAGCTCTGCTGGCAGCAAACCCACAGCTTGATGGGAACACTCTGTCAGACTCAGCAGGGCCATATTGGTTACCCCTTCTCAGGTGGCTGTTCCTGGCCATGGTGCTGCACTGCCAGGATGAGATTGGAGCAGTTGTTCTCTCCTGCACCTGGGCCTCTGCATATTCTGTTTATTGCAGGTAGTATGTACAGTGACTGGAATAAGTGAAAATGCATTTACAGAAATGTGGGAGAAGTGAATTTTCACATGAAATGTAGAAACTGAGTGCCATAAATGACACCTGTAAATTTGAAACCAAAAAATTTGGAGGTATTTGGATGAGCAGTCCATAGAGTGGATTGTGATAAGCTTTCTCTTCTGTCTGTACAGATTGGTGTGTTCATAAGATGATGATAGGAAACTTCCATCAGATTTATTTAAATTGAGAGGATTGATACAGAGTTCCACAATACTGTCACAAGGTGGGTGGAAAGTAAGTTACAATGGTCATGAATATTTTCCATGTGAAAAACATCTTCATACATGCTAATTAAACAGAAGTATGGAGAGAATAGTGTATGGAACAGGAACATCATTGTAATGTTACATACTCTTGCATGATGAAAATGGTAAACTTGAGCATTACAGTGTTGCTTACCTGGAGCCAGAATAAGGAGAAAAGAAGAACTGCTGTGTTTACTCACACATGCATCAAACCTTGAGTGTCAGGCTCTGCTTTAAGTGGCACTACAGAAAACATGCAAAGAAGGCAGCAGCAGAGACAGAAGATATTCTTACTCCTCTGATACAGGTTAATTAATTTTGGTGTTTTTTTAATAATGTGGCAGAAGCTAATAGACAAGAACTTACTGCCCCACTCAGTGTGTCATTACAGAATGTCAGACCTCCTTCCCAGGGCTGACATCCTCTTGGTTTGCTTTAACTACCTAACGGATCTCAGGAAGATGGAATGGGTTGGGAGGAAGGTGTGCTGTGAAGATCTCTATCTGTGAGTTTAAATACAAAAGTATGAATAACTGTGCACCCCCTAGCTGGGCTTGGAGTAGCTTGAGGTGTTTAATTCTCATGAGAGCAGAATGAAAATGTCCTGAGACTGGAAAGTGACATTCCACACTGATAACAGCTGAAAGAGTCACGGCAGTTCTCCAGCAACTTTTGTCTGAAGAGTTCTAGCATTTTGTATTTACATTTTGTATTTGACATGGGAGTTCTTTTCTTTACAAGAAAGGAAGAGCTGAGGCAGTGTGCATATGACCTAGAAGACCCCTTTGTTGACTTCATGGTAAAATGCAAGCCAGTTGTGGCCTATGGCTTTTCTTCATGGGAGCAGGGAAGGAGGTGGCCTCAGCCCTCATGTGGTCTCAGCCCTCCTCCATGAGCAGGTTGGTTTGCACGATGGGCTGCTCCAGAGGAGAAGTTGGAGCAAGGTGATGATCTCTCTTGGCAGAGGCTGTGCAGAACTGCAGCCCCAGCAGCGCTCCCAGTTATGAGCAGGTCCCAACCAGGGAAGTAACAGGCTGGGAGGAATTCGATATCTGTGCCGGTTGTTGAATTCCTCTTGTTCCCAGGCTGCAAACTGGATTCACAGCAGCACTTCCCAGCAGCACACAGGCTCTCCATGGAGAGGTATTCTTGCCTTTCTGGCACATGTTCCAGTGCTCCTCTGAACTGTGGAAAAGCTTGGGCTGTAAGGACCTTTTCTTTTAAGAAGAGAAACCTGAGGAGACTGATACTTCAGCTTGGGTTTCCCAGGGAGGCAGGTGCAGTCTGTTTGTCTGGTGCTGTGTGTATGAGCTTGTCTTTCCCCTTTTAATGCCTGTTTGGAACTGCTCTTTTGTTTCAGACAGTTCACAGGGAGAGATGATGGCTGACAGAACACTCTGTTTCTCTTAAGTCTTGCAAGAAATCAGACTTGGGATGTGAGGATGACTGTGCTAGAGTTCTGGCAGGTGGAGGCTGCAGTGTGCATGTAGGAAGTAGGCTTGGTGCTTTTATTGCTCAGCGAATTGTTCAGATTTGTTGCAAATTAAAAGCTATTAAATAAAAAGTACTGATGGATGCAGCACAGGATGATTGCTGATGAGCTGTGGGGTTTGATTTTTGTGATTTTTTTTTTTTGCCACTTCAGTTTCCTTCTTTGTCAAAATTTACATCTGTCTCCCTTTGCTATTTTGTGGTGGAAGCTTTGATGAGCAAGTGAAGTAGGAGGACTGTTAAAAATTGCAATATATGTCTCTCTTGGGTGATTGTGTGCTGTGAGAAGAGGATCTCTTGAGAGACCACAGAACTGGGTATGTACACTTGCAAATGATATATAACCATTTCTGCTCACCAGAGACTCAAAATGAGAAAACGGTTTGAGAAAGGCAGAGTGGGTGCGTCAGCTGTTTTACTTTTCCCCTGTATGCAGGTAAATGGTCAAGCTCTCCCTGAGCACTGTTTGTTCAACAGCTAAAAAGAAAGCACTTCATGTCACTCCAAAGAGTAAATATCTGAAGTTATGGATTAACTAAGTTCCAGCAGAGCTCATGGAGGAAGAACAGATCACACTGATTCCCACTGAATAAAGCAGTAAGTGCTTCAAAAATATTATATCCTTTGAGATTTCCAAGTACAGCTTGCTTTAATGGAGCATGAAGCTTGAAAAAAATGTCCAGTGACAACAGGAGGGTGTCAGGACAGGCCAGAAGTGTTCTGGGACAGCTGCCAATGTATTAAAGGGAATGAGCAAACCAGTCTGGAGGGACCCTAGAGAACAACTGCTCCAGAGCTGGAGTCAGAGACAGGGCACAGCAGAGCATTCAGCAGAGAAGCAGCTTTCTGAAAAGCCAGTGTGTGAGCTGGCTGAGCTGGGTGGGTGGGAACTGTCTGCAGCAGGGTCTTGAGTCACTCGGCAATGTGCTCTTATTGACACCTGCCTTCTTCTCAGGTGACTCCTGCTGCAGGATGTGGAAGCTCCTCACTGTGGGGCTGCTGCTGGCTGCCTGCTCTTCCTGGGGCTGCTGCACCTCAAGTAAGCATTCTTTTGAGAGAGGACCTTCAACCTTTCCCAGTCAGTGCAGTTTCATTTCCTGCTCCTGTGTTAGTCAGAGGGGGTGGCTGGAATCATTCCCATTATGGGGAGGTTGACTTCTTTAGCAGAGGTTGACAGACAGTGCTGGGGCCATGGCAGCTGCCTGGTTGGAGCCCTGCTGAGCCCCATGAGATGTCAGAGTCCCACAGAGCAGAGGCTTGCTTCTGCAGCACAGCACAGACAGCACATGGTGTCTAGGGCAGCCTCTCTTGCTGCACTTGAGAGAGGCTCTTGCTCTCAAAAGTGTCCTTTGAGAAGCACCACTACAGTTTTCAGGCAGCTCTTTTCTCTGCTTCTGCTCTCACTTTTTTGCTTGCAGTATTTTATAGCAGTAGAGATGCAAACCAAGTGCTGAGAATCCAGAAGCGGTCAAACACTTTCTTGGAGGAGCTCAAGCCAGGCTCTGTGGAGCGTGAGTGTGTTGAAGAGGTCTGTGACTTTGAGGAGGCCAGTGAGATATTTGAAACCAGGGAAGCAACAGTAAGTTGGTTTTTTTTTAAGGGTAAGATAACTTAAGCCAATCAATAATTTTCTTAAAATATTACAATCCAGGGCACAGGAAATCATGCTATCAGTACTGAACACAGATCTTTTCTGACTCCACAGGTGTAGGCATGGTTTTGAGTGTCACTGTCTTACAATGATTGTCAAGTTACCCCTCTATAGGCCACAAGCATGTTCCACCTGACCCACCTGGTGAGGTTCAGGTCCTAGACAGTTAATTCCAATCCTTGCTTGACCCCACTGGCTATTCTTGGTGCTACTAAGTTTTTCCCAGTCTTTCCCCTTTGTTCATTCACCAGTCCTGGCTGCTTTTCAGTGTATCTCCCAAGTGTCCCAGTTATGCCTGACAAACATTTCTCTTATCACTATGTTCTTTCTCTGCTTCTCCAAACTTCTGAATTGGACGCTATGTTTACTGTCTGCTGATTCCTGCCCCTTTCCACACTCAATTGTAGTGTTGGGTTGTATCCCCGTTGCTATTTTTAGCAGAGTAAGCTCAAAGCATAGGTTTACCCAGTCCTTGCTGTCCCTAGAGGAGAGAGGGGCTGCCCTTGGAATGCCCTTGTTTTGTCTAACTGGCCTCAAGTGACTTACCTGGCAGTAAGTGCCAAGAAAATAGCCTGCAAGCAGAGCAGGGGAGTCTTTGCTTAGTACAGAGAGTGCAGGGGGATCATTGGCTGGTTTTCTTGGTAGTAGTGCCAGTCACTACCCTGGCAAGAAGAATGAGACCAATGTTACTGACCCAAGTGCTGTGTCCTGTTGGCCAAGACCACAAAACACATAAAATCCCTTGCTTGTTGAAAATGGTTTTCTCACTGTAATACAAGTTTTGTTTCTCCACAGCTAGATTTTTGGAGCAAGTATATAGGTAAGTAAAGACTTCCCTAATCACTTTGCTGTGCTTCCTCAGGAGTTACTAGTACGCAGCCTTCCTTCTGCCTTGTGTCATATACTAATTCAAATTCTCATTCTCTCTCATAAGGTGTGTGCAGAGGATGTTTTCCTGTTCTATCATACAAGCAACCTTCCTAAAACACTTGAGGTGCACCTGTACCTATCATCAGTCATGTTCCCAGGGTTAAGGAATTGGTGAAAAATGCTTTGATGCTCTAACCATGCCTGATGTGGTGCAGCAGTAACGTGCTGCTGCCCCGCCTGCTTCAGGCTTTACTCTTTCCTCCCCTTCTGCCCACTCCACTCACTCTGCAGATGTAATTGAGAGCCCACACGGATGGCCCTGTCTCTGGCCAAGTGCCACAGAGGTGTCACCATTAAGTGCCAGAAACATGGCTGGAACTTGGAATTCTGGAGAGGGTCTGTTTGTGTTGATGTTTGATCTGCGAGCTCTGTATGGTTCAGCGACTGAGTTTTGTTACCTCTGTTTCAGACGGAGATCAGTGTGAGCAACATCTTTGTTCCAACGGGATCTGCAAGGACAGTATTGGAAAATTTTCCTGCATCTGTAACAAAGGCTGGGAGGGGGTTTTGTGCAGTTATGGTAACACTACATTCAATCTGCTATAAAATAACATCCTTTGTGATGGGGATCTCTGTGCGATAGGGATGGACACTTCAGTCATTGCACAGCATATTTTTTCTTTACTACTTTCTTTACTAATGTGATTTCTCTCATGCTTCTTAATGTGGTAAGAGGTTTATCTGTGCTTATCTAAAGCAAAATTAGCTTTGTATTGCCATAGGATAATTTTAGAGGCATGAGATTATCCAAATTTTGGACAATACTGGAAACAACTCTGTAAAGCAGGGGTTTACTTTAGAATTGTCAACACAGGGATTATGGTGAGGTTTTTAAATACAGGGGAAAACCCAATCCACTGCAAATATTTTATTACTGTGACAGTTCCTTCCTTGGACAAAAGCTGAATAGCATATTTAGGGATGAGCATTGTATGTCATGTATCATCAAAGGTTTTCACTGTGGGAGTTGGCACATAGTGACAGGGCATTTTCTGTTCTTCAGTCTTAATAGTAATCTGTTTCCTCAGTCTCCCCACTCCCTGATTCTGGACCTAGGTCTGTTTGCTGTCTAGGGGCCTGAGTGTCATTGAAGCCCACAGCTGTCATTCTAAATCCATTTACAGCTGTTACCCACTTGAAGCACGATGTCACTTTGCCACCTTACCTTTCTGTGGCTCTGAATTCCCAACTTCCCATCTCTCTTGCTCTTTGTTTTTCCCACAGAGGTCAAATATAGCAACTGTTCCATGGATAATGGGGGCTGTGAACATTTCTGCAGGGAGGAACCTGCTGAGCAGCATCGCTTGTGCAGCTGTGCATCGGGGTATCAGCTCAAGGATGACCACACCACGTGTGAGCCTGTAGGTAAGAGCAGGATCTTTGTAGTCCAGCTTTAACAGAGGATTATTCAGAATGATGTAAAAGAGCTTTAGGGGATATTTGTCTGCAGTACACTTTGTACTCATTTTCAAAACATCTATTCCATGAAGAGTAACTACATTTCCCAGCTCCATACCCACTTTATGGCCCTTTATCCATGTTTGCCTCATGGAGATATAGAGGGGAATCGGGAGACTGCTTCCTCTGCCAAGCACTAAGGGACTTCCATGAAGCCTCTGAACAATATTGCCTAGGTTAGACAGAGGAAGTCATCTAAAAAGAGGATTGGGTGACCTGGGCTTTGCTAGTGAATTCTCTGCATCTTCTGCAGTGGAGTTCCCCTGTGGAAGAGTGAAGTTGGACTACACTGAAGGCAAAGCAGGCTTCAATATCCGGCTCATTGATGGAACAGTTGGAAGAAGGGGAGGCAGCCCTTGGCAGGTAAGGAGAAAGGGATTCTTTGCCACATATAGTTCAGGCTCTTCCTGAACTGCTCTGCCTCCCTCTAGCTCCAGAAAGGCTCTTGTGTTGTTCCTGGTAGTGTCATATGAAGTTAATATTCCCATAACTTTTTCAAAAGCATCCCAAAGGTTGGAGTAGCAAGAAAAATAATTTCCTATCTGTGAGGATTCTTGACCTTGTTGCTATTACCAAGTTTTTGACCTAACTGTGCCAACACTGCCAAGAGAGAGGATGGTGATGGCACTCACCTGCTCTGTTGCTCCATCCTGGGGAACTCACAGTGTGCGATGTGCTTCAACTCCTGCAACAGCCTTCCAGTGGGAAGTGTTCTTCCTGCCCTTTCTTATAAGCCTTGTCTTTCATAAATTCAAGTTAGCAGACTTAATCAGCAAAATATGCCATGGCAGGTTGGCTTATTGCAAAGAAAAAGGAGACCTCACAGAGCTTACCATGAAACTAATGAATGCAAATAATTAGGGCCTGGTTCCCTTTGATATTAAAGGGCCTTTTACACCACAGTGTGAGAGCTGCAGCCTGAGATGATGCATGGTTTCTGGTGGGGAGCACACCCCTCATTTGTGCTCTGTATTTCAAAGCTTTGAGTACAAAGTGCTTCTTTGCAGTGACCAGCATCACCCCATGCTGATTTGGATGAAGCCAGCCTCATTGAGGAAGGACATTCAAAACTTTTTTGTAGGTATTTCACAGAGACTCTATTTATAGAATTTTGTCCCCCTGTAGAGCTTTGGCTTCAGTGAATATGACATGATTTGGTGCTTGATAAGTCTGGGTATTTGGCAGCACCTAAGAAGAATGAGTACAGTATTCTGTGAGCTGTGCTCCATGCAGTGACACACCTCTCTTCTCTTGTTTCAGATTATGCTGCAAAATACCAAAGGGATGTTTCTGTGTGGGGGTGTTCTCATCCACCCAGCTTGGGTCCTAACAGCAGCACACTGCCTTGAGGAAAACAAGGGGTTCAGAGTTAAAATTGGTATGGAAAATCACCTGTCCCTATGTTTTTTAAATATAAAATATGTTTATTTCCTAACATTTATCATCTCAGGGAAAAGACTGGCAGGTTCTGAAGACAAAAATCCTTGGCTGTAGGAATGGTCTGTTAGGCACTATTTAATATGCACCTTAGCTTAAAACAAAGTTTAGTAAAAATCTGATTTCATTTGAGCTATTTGAGCCTTACTCTGGAAGTGAGCTGATGTCTTCTGAGCACTGATGCTAGTCTGTAAAGTAGAAAGTCTTGATCTCTTTTGCTTGTGTGCTTCTGGTGGTGAAAGTATTTAAGATCATCCCAATACTGAAAAAAAGTCTTGATCCCTGAAGGAGAATGTCACAGAGTCTCTTCCTGCCTTTTCATGTATTTAAACACTGTTACTTAAGAATGTCACTGGAGAGGTGCTGCAGAACAGCAACACTACCTTTACTTGCCCTGCTGCTCTGGAGCATAAGAGATTTTAACTATGTCAAGTAAGGGCTTCTCCTGAATTAACAAAGATAATTAGTATTTAATTCACACTTAGATTTTTTTTTTCTTCAACAGTGTTTTCTATCTAGCATTGGTGTTAAGGCATAATAGCTCATCTGCTTGCTTTCCATTAGTGAAAGGATAGATTATTCCCAGTGTTTGTGGAGAGTCCTGCCAATATATTGTCTGTGTATATAGCTTTAAAAGTAGATGTCTGTGTGCATGTTCCATACACACTGTGGATGTGCAGATGCTTGAGAGCAGAGACAATAAGTTTATGTACATCCAACATAAAGAACAAATGGAAAAATGTGTGATGTAGCCTTGGGTCCTCTTAGTGCCAGGATATTCACCTTTTCGCAGAGAGACATCTGTCACCACAAAAGCAGTTCTCATCAGAAAAACCTGGAGACATCTGTGAGCAGCAAGGAGGAGAGTTTTGGATGAAGACATTGCCGTGTCCATGTGGACAGCCAGGAAAGTGTTCGTACTGAGCCTGCATGGGTGTGCTACTCAATCTGTGTCTGTCAGGCTGGGATACCCCACACCCTTCTGGACTTGTCTCAGTGCAGCTTGCCACCCACAGGAGCAAAACTGGAAACCTGCATCTGAGTTTACACTCGGCTTTGGGAGAAGTCTCGGAACAGCGCTCATGTGGCTTTTTAGTGTCTGGAATGGAAAGTTAGTTCTTGGAGTAGCTGAAGTTTTGGAAGATGGATTTGGGAATAACACAATATTCCTGTTTATGGCTCTTGTTCCTGCATCACCAGCCTAAGAGCATCCAGAAATGTGTTCAGAACTCCAAGAAGATGGACCAGATAGGTGGATGTAATGGTTCAATTCAGAATCATGTTTCTGCCTTCACAGTTTGTTTTTTTTTGTTTGTGCCAGCAGCAAGATTATGATGATCCTTATTGTGTAGAAGGAATTTGATGTGTTTCCACAGCCTCTTGGTTCAGTACCTCCAGGTGTACATCTGGGATTTTTGGAATTTAGAACTCTGGGGGTGAATGACCCACCAGAAGTCAAAGGGTGTCTCCCTGGGGGTGAGGGAGTCCTCACTGCAGTGCAAAAGGTGTCACCCACTGGTTGGTGGGTGCCTCAGGATGGACACAGCTGGTGGCTGTGCTGGTGTACAGAGCGTGTGGCCCCACAGCAAGCCTGTTCCTGCACAGCCACTCTGCCTCCCTCAGAGGAGATGGTCTGACAGAGCTTGAGTCCAGAGTTATTTCTGAGGCCTAAAGCAGAGTTTGTATCTGTGAAGGCAGGAATAAATCCCTGCCAGCCAGCCCCCAGCCACAGTGGCTTCAGGTTGCCTCAGGATTGCTGCAAACACTGTCACTGCAAAGAAAATAGATTGTGATAGGAGAGAGAAACTGATCTGTGACTGTTGGCTTAATACTAACAAGTCCATCAGGGGCTGGTGCCACTCAGTACAAGACATCAGAGCAGTTTCAGCTGTCTGCTCCAGCCCCGTGTGAACTGTCCTTTTTCTGTCTGCAGAGGGGCGAGGAGAGAGACTCAGAAATAAATGGTCTGGAAGACCAAGAATCCAAAGCTGGGCTTGAGAGATCTTTTGAGAATATGTTTCTGTAACTACTGTGGCTTGTAAGTCCCTATGCTTGGAGTCACTCACAGAAAAAAAACTTGCAAGACCTCATTGACAGCCTGCCAGAAAACCTAGTTCTGCCTTTCTTATTGTAATGTATCACAAATGCCTTCTTGCATTTCTGGCCCTTTTCAACATAGATTCTTGCTTGCTGTTCCATAATTTCTCGGCCCATGAAGTAGCTGTGATCTTGTAGCACAAATAGCAACTGAGGAGTCTTAGGCAGTGAAAAATTCCTTAAAATACAGATGTAAGATTTCAGAAAGGAATAATCTTACCTGTCAGTCAACTTTATTTTCCAAATGCTGACATTCAGCCATTCAGCCCTGGCTATGTAGCATAAAGCTCATGTCCTGTTGTAAATGTCCTGGTTTTGTGGTGTACTTGCTCTCCCAGCTTTGAATGCTGACTCCAGGAAGGTTGTTTTCCCCCTGAAGGTGACTCACATTGCACAGGTGTACTGAAACATGAACACCACAGGGCAATTTGGTTTCTCAGCTGATAACCAGAGCTCTAGAGGTCTATAGGTTTTCATGATTTTTGTAAATATGAAAAGTTTAGAGATTTGTCCATCTGTTAATAAACAGTTGTCCATGACATAAACAGTTGTATTACAAGAGAAGTAAAAACATGGAGTGCAGTCCTAATGCCCAGTGTAATCCAAATGCTTTGGTCTTCAGAGTAAAGGAAGCTTTGACAGCATCTGTCATCTTGTTTCCTCTTCCAGGTAAATTCCGTTTCCGTCCTGAGGCAGATGAGCAGACCATTAGGATTGATAAATGGGTGATCCATGAAAATTACACCAAGAAGACCTCAGATAATGACATAGCCATGCTGCACTTGGCTGAGCATGTGATGTATTACAAATACGCACTCCCGATCTGCCTTCCCACCCGCAACCTGGCGGAGCAGGAGCTGATGAGGAGCGGGAAGCAGGTGGTGGTGTCGGGCTGGGGCAGCATGAGCGAGGATAACCAGAGCTACGCTGCTCTGCTCAGGTACATTGAAATCCCCATCGTGCCCCACAACGAGTGCGCCCAGGCCATGAGCTTCCACATCTCTGAGAACATGCTGTGTGCTGGGAGCCTGGGGGACAGGAAAGATTCCTGCCGTGGGGACAGTGGAGGCCCTATGTTCACTAGATATAAGAATACTTGGTTTTTGGTAGGGCTGGTAAGCTGGGGTGAAGGCTGTGGAAGAAAGGAGAATTTTGGAGTCTACACCAAAGTTAGTCAGTACCTTGAGTGGATCCAGCACCACATAGATACGTCAGCTCCTTTGAAGGGTTGATTCTGATCCAGAGTCTGGAATGCTGTGACTCTATGCTAGTGGCAGTATGCATTATAATGTACTGTCACATCTTCTGTATTAAATATTGAGTATGTGCTAACCTTGTGTGCTGTTTTCTTTGGTATCTATTTTCTTTTTCCTCCTTTTTTTATTGTTTACATTGGTTTGTTGCAGGTTATGTTGTTTATTTGTGGCATGGTCCTACTTCGGCCTTACAGGCAAGAAAATGTCCTCTGTTAGCTGAGATGCTGTACATACAGCATTGTAGAAAATAAGGTTGTCCATGGTCAGACAACTCTGAAATAAAAATGTCAGTTGTGTAAAGTGTCTGAACTGGTTGGGGTGGAGACAGGAGGGGACACAGAAAAGTGTTTTGCAAATAACCCTAGAGATGCAGTTCTTTAATTTCAGCTGTACTGCAAGGTAGTACCCACAGTAACTGCTTTGGTTTGCTTGGTATTTGTATAATTTTTCTTTCAACCCAGTGAAATTTTTATTCCATCATTACTACCTCCAGTTCTTCACACCTTACTCCAGTGTTCACAGATTATTGATTCAGCAGGTTACTGGAACTTACCTGTATTTTCCATTCTTTGCACACTTGACGCCAGATTTTACCCTGCCAAACTTCCTTAAAAGAGAATGGGAATTCTCTTTAGTGTTATTCCAAAAACCCAAACAAACAAATAAGCACCAAAACCAAACAAAAACCCCAAACAAAACAAAACCCACTTTTAATTCCAAGCTTTTGCAGGCTCTATTTATCATGAAGTCTGTAATTCTCTTCTAATTAACAAGCAAGCAAACACTTCTCTTCATTCCTGTTCTGTGGGTGCAGTGGGCTGCAGACTGTGTTAGTACTGCCAATGCTTTTACTGATAAAGACATGTTTGCTTGTATAAACATATGTCTGTGTTTATATCAGTAAACAAAATAAAGACATACAGCATCAATAAGTCCATAGGAACTAGCAATAGTCCAAGTGAAGTTTAATATCACAATTTATACTTGTTTCTAATCTTAGTACTTGAGACTTGTTAAACATAATTAATCTTGTAGAAAGAAAATCTGTTTCTGCTGTAGTGATGTGTTTCCAACATCTTGATGGGCTTGGATGCATGTTTGGATCAGTGAAGAACTTCAGTCTGCTCTTGTGAGGAGATTGTTAAACAAAAAAACCCCAGGTATTATGAAATTTTATTAGAGTTTGTAAGAAATTTAATACGATATCAGCAAGGAGGCTTAAATACCTCTTAAATTTGTTCTCTCAGAAGCTGCCTCTGTGCTTATTACCCAAGTGAGGATTTCGAGTCATGCACTGAAGAAGTACCAGTCAAGCCAAGGGCTTCTGTGTCACTTGCTGGCTCTGTTGCTCTCCTCTCCTCCTCTTTTTGCCTTGGGACAGGATTTGGGGATGGACAAGTGTTAATAATGCTTTGAACAGCAGCCTTCCCTCCAGGCCTGCAGGGGGAAGAGGGAACCTGTAACACTGACTTGCACAAATGTGTTCAAAGCCAGTAAGACACAGGTCTGAGTAATGGCAGAAAGTGTAATGTTGGAGTGGCTGTGACTCTGACAGGGCAGTATTTGCTTGCCTGCAGGTGACTGCTGTGAATCCTCCTGCACACTCCCAGCTCTGCATATTTCAGCAGAGGTTTACAAAGCAGCTTGTGTATTTTACCTGCTGGAAGGTGATGGATTGTCAGAAATATGCTCTCAAAATGTCCATATTTTCCTGAATTAAATTGTTCCAAAAGGTGGCTTTTATTACTGAAGGATAGTTTTAAAAACCTTTTGATTTTCTTTTTAATGCACCTGTATATATGTGTGGAAACACACATGCAATTTTCTTCTGATTTTGGTTTTCTAATGTGTTTCATAGAATCCAGGTTGTCTCTCCTCTGTCAATATTTGTGATGGGTTAATGATCAACCTCTTGACCTCATGGCTGTCCCTGGTGTATATCCAAATCTCTTTTCTGTCTTTCTCTAAAAAAAGAAAGAAAAAAGTGAGTATAATTGCATGATTCTGTGTAGGTGAACTCACTCTGGGTTCTTTGTTTTTGAAAACATGCTGCAGGAAGCAGAGGGGTATATGTGCTGTCAAATCCTGGTAAATCAGTCAGTGTGGGAAGGTAATGCCAAGAATTCCAAACTTCTGTCTTGTACCTGTGACTCCCAGGTATGTGGGGGTTGGTGCCTGGCTGGGGTTGGTGTGGATGATGTTACTTGCCAAGACCATCAGGAATTGCACAGTGGCTGCTGGAGCTCTTGGCTGGTTGTGTATCTGCCTTGGCACAAGAGCCAGCACAGCGGGGACTGAGCTGTGGCTGGGAGTGGCTCCTGCTCCTCTGGGGTCTGGCCCTGCACTCCTGTCCCAAGGCTTTTTCACTGGGACTCTGGCTCAGACCCTGCAGAGGCTGGCTCAGCCTCTCTGCCTGTGAGGATGCCTACTGGGCTGGCTTGGAGAAACAAGGGACATGAGGTCAGACTGAAGTGGGGAGATTCTGATTTCTTTGTCCCTGCTCTTATCCTCTTGCTTCTACTTCATCTTTGTCGCCGGCTGGTTTCATGACAACAGACTAATTTGATTCTTCTTTTCCCTCTGAAGGAAGTCAGAGTGTTCTGAATCTCACCGACATGGAGAGCAGCTCCTTACTTGGGATATTTCTTCTGCTGATGTGCTATATCAACAGCATCTGCCTGCTTTCATGTTCAGGTAGTACTTCTGAGTTATCTTTTTGTGCTACTGTGGTAACTGGAAATTTCAGCATTTAAACTAAAACTACATTCCTCACACAAAGTTGTGTGGGTTGAAGAAACACCTTCTGAAATGCACAACAAAAAAATACTATTCATATATATATTGAGGAGAAATCAGCCTTTCTTAGCTTTCTACTTAGCCTGCTCTCCTGTTGAAACATATTCTCCTTGTGATATTGAATCCAAAATCATAATGAGTTTTGCATGGCAAAGACTTCAGTTTGGGAAGCTAAAACAAGGTACTCTCAACGTGTGTCTACTTAAGTGTAGGTGAATCCTCTGAGGTGACCCCGGAGCACAAGGGGTGGTGAAGGGAAATTTCACTCATGTACATTAAAGACATTTTCTCTGTTACCAGACAGCAGGATCTGTCTAAAGCCTTTCTCCATTAGGAATTTTTGTGGACTCTTATTAATTGCCTAGAAATGAGGCAAATTAATATAAGTCTAGAATTTCAGGCATTGCTGTAGATACTGTTCCTGCAACTACAAAGAAATGTGTGTTTTCACAGTCCATCTCAAAAGTGGGTTCTTTGTCCAAGGGCACTGCCCCATGACTTGGAAAATGGAGCACTGCTAAGTGCACTGCTATGTGGATTTTTGTGGGCTTTGTTGGGAGTACAGCCTCAGCTTTCACCTTGGAACACTGGTAGCAGCACCCACTCCCAGCATCTGCTGGGTGGGCTTTGGCTATTGGGCCACACTTCTGGAGATGTAACAAAAAGGCAAAAACCTTCAGAAGCAGCAGGGGGTGTGTGGGCAGGACCTTATGGCCTATTGCATCTTTTAGCCATTCCTCTCTTAATTTACTGAGAGCAGTAGCTTCAGCCATTGCAGGAGGAGGACAGGTCATATAGTGAACTATATGTAAAACTGAACATTTACATACCTTTAGAACTAAATGTAAAACTGACATTTCAATATTTCTCTTAATGGAGGATTGGTGTCTGTCTTGCTGTGGCCATGATAGCACCTGGAAAACTCTGGGTCTCCATTACCAAATATCATACTAATAATTGCTGGGAATCAAGATGGTTAAGCAGAAAAATATAACCATCCTCCACAGAAGAAGCTGCAATACTCAAGAGTCTTGTGGAATAAAATACTATTTCTGCACTTACCTACAGGTCTCAGTAGTAGCTCTTTTGATTCATTGAAAGAAAGCTTAAACTACTGGTATCTTTTGCTGGAACACAGGCTAATTTTATTGTCCTTTGGTTTGTGTAAATTTCCACTCCCCCTATTTATACCACTCTACTGAATGCCTATTTTACTGTGACTGTAACAATGCTGCTGCTTTGTCTTCCTCTACCAAAGTGTTCAGTTTTGCTCTTCTAGTGTTTATGAGAAAAGACAAAGCCCATGAGATGCTGTGAGTCCATAAATGTGCCAACCACTTCCTAGAAAAGATTTGTCAAGGGAACCTGGAGAGAGAATGCAATGAGGAAAAATGTTCGTTTGGAGAGGCTAAAGAGATCTTCCATTCACAGGACAAAACAGTGAGAAACCTGAATTTAGGAGAAATAGAGGGAAGTTAGCGGTGAGGTATAAATAATCCTGTTTTGAGGTGTAAATAAAACTGGTTGTTAAGGCAGGGAGGAAGGGAGCGCTGGGCTTGCGTTCTGTCCTGAAGAGGGCCTGGGCAGGCTGCTCCTGGCTGATGCTACTGACTCAGAGAAGGCACAGCCATGGGCCGTGTCTGGGCAATCAGCTCTGCACACTCGGTGGCCAACGGGCTGCTGAACATCACAGTGTCAGAGTTGTTCCTGGGCTCTTCCTGCGAGGTTGAGTGGAATGGGAGCACAGAGGGCACAGTTACAACAGGAGCCACTATGGGACAGTACTGCAGGGCAAGAGCTGCCTGTCCCTGAGCACTGTGAAGCACTGGAGGAGAACACCAGGCCTGGTGCTCAGGGTGAGCTGAGCCAGGGCCCTGCAGGGCAGAACGAGACCCCAGCACCTGCAGCCAGGAGGGAAGGAGCAGTGGGAAATGAAACGGGGCAACACCAGGGATGGGAGGGCTGGGGCCAGAATGGAATGGGGGCTGTTCAGACTGGGAATGAGGCACTGCATCAGGGCAGTGACTGGGGAGATGTTTTGGACAAGCCTCAGCCCACCCCTTAAACCACCCAGACAAACATCAGCTCTGCTTTGGAGCAGTTATGACTGCAGGGTAATGGGAGGAGCACTGTCATTGTGGACATTGCCCCTGGCAGGTAATACTTTACTTCCAGTCTCACCATAAACACCACATCTAAATGCTTTCTTTATCATCACTGGGTCTGTCAGGAGGAGCAGAGTTCATCAAGCCATTATAAAGTTGTTTTTTCAGGTTGAGAGCAATGGAACCACACATATATCTCAGTCTTATGACGGGCTTTTTGATAATAGGGACCTTAAATACCTCTATCATTCTTTTCCTATCTTGCTTTTGGATTGGAATGTTAATACCCTCTCTATAAGTCAGATCATCAGTGCTTTATGGGTTGTGTTTGCATGTCCTTGGGGAAAAGCCAAACTTTTGCTCCTTTTGGAAGGATGGTAATTTTCACAAGGTAAGTTCCATGGCCAGGTAAGGTTCCTTAGAATGCTGAGCATGGTAAGGGAGATAAAACTGAGGGCTCAAAGGTGAAGGCAAGTGCATGTGGCAAACAGGGACAACTAAAGTGTTTGTTTCCTTTGTTTTATTTTGGATTTTAAATCATGGTTTTGGGCATTTTTTGTGCATGTCCTTATTTGTTACTAATTTTCACTCTATTGTCTCTGGTCAGTGTCTTAGTGCTGTGGGGATTTGTGCACAGGAATTCTGATCTAAAAAACCCTCATGTTACCCTCAGTCTGTTTTACTGCTGTCATACAAATGGATTGCCCAATTCCACAGGTCAGGAGGTATTTACATGTAGAAAAATCCAAGGCTGAGCCTGGGTAGACTGTGCATTCATTGTGCACTTTGACAAGTAAAGATGTCACTATTAGCCAGTTTTAGGGGTTTCCACTATCTAGCCTGAATCTGGCTTGGTAGATGGGCATGTTGTTTGAATGCTGCCCAACCTGTACATTTTCTTCCAACCTGTACGTTTTCTTCTTGAAATGAAGTGTTACCAGCAAAGAAGTTGAGGAAGTGTTAAATTTTCATTACAGCTGGCAACTTGTAATTTAATCTTGTGTATATCTATATCTCTCTATATATATTCTATTTGTTTAAAGAGTTTTGCATTCTAGTTCTTCATAACCTAAGACAGCATTTTCTGGTAATTGTTCTTTGCAGTTTCTATCAGTGTTTCTTTCAGTGTTTATTTCTAGCACTACTGAAGAGAATTAAAAACAACAATAGTATATAGAATTAAGTCAAAATGGGTAATGTAAATCTCTAGGAGCTGGACCATGGTAGGAGGCCAGAGTGTGTCATACTCCTTTCCACTCTTTGATTATTAACTTCACTGGAGGCACAGAGTACCAACATGTATGCTTTTACTTCAGTTTAACACATGAATTAACAGGTCTGGGAAGTTAATTGAGGAGATGCTGAGGCAGTGATGGAGCTTATAACTTTGAACAGACAACACAGACATCAAAGACAGAGCAGTATGTTTTAACTTGTCCATTTGCTACTGTGTAAATTTTTATTACAAATTTTGTTATAGGAGTCCCAAAGAACTACACCTTGTGTTTCTGTTCCCAGCCCCCAAAACTTTTCAAACCACATGAATAAAAACTTTCAAACCACAGTCATACTTGTCCCTTCTGAAGAATGCTAGCCACTGCAGCAGGCAATTTATTTGTCAAGATTAGTGATTTTAAATAGTCTGTTCTCTTGTCCCAGCAGTTGAATCATTTTACTGATTTCACCGCACCTGTGCTTGGTGTGCTGGTCATTCCCACCAGCCGTGTTCCTTCTGCAGGGTCGGGCCCGCAGCGGGGTTCTGCCTGTCCCGAGCCGCAGGTGCCGCTCCGGAGCGGCCGGGCCATTGTGTGCGGCGGGAGCCCCTCGGCCGGGCGGGGTGCGCAGGGCCGGACAGCGCCCAGCACGGGCCCCTGGGTGAGCACGGGGCCTGTGACCGCGGCTGTGCTTTGTGGCACACAGCACGGCAGCGCTCACACAGGCCCAGCCGCTCTGGGGTTCAGGGAGCACCTCATGGCCTTGGCACCGTGCTGAGAGGCTCCCTTTTGTTTTCACTGAGAACCTAGGAGCGCACACACACACACACAACCATGGACAGGCTGCTCACCGACAGCACGCACAGCGCGGCCGCAGCTGATGCCTGTATGGGAGCCGTTTCTTCTGGGCATTGGCAGCTGGGCCTGGCATAAGGGCTGTGCCAAGCAAGGGAAATAGGGTGTATACACCAGAGTATCCAACTACATCCCCTGGATGAAAGAGGTGGTTGAATGCTTAGCACATTCAGAAACTCTTCCATTGACTTTTATTAATACCACCTCTAAGAACAGGATCAATTCTATTATTACAGTGTTTCAATCTATGACACTATGCCTGCTCCCATCCATAATGGTGTAAAGTCAATTTACCCTCCAAGAAGTTCTGAAATGCATAAAGTGCTCATTTAAGTACTGCTGAGTAAGTATAATAAAGAACCATCTGCAAGTAACAAAGGCAGAGATAACTCCTCTTAATGTGAATCAGGAAGATTTTTTTGCTTTAGAGAAAGAAAGCACCTTCCATGTCTCAAGCCTGTGCTCTTACAGGCCCACAGCCCTGTGTGCGTTCAGTGCCCACGGAAGGAAAAGCAGTTGTGGCAACAGTGTCCATCACAAGACAATGAACACAGGCAGGGAGTGTGAAGTTCTGGCACCAAGTACAACCTCGAGTACAAATCAGTTACAGATTTGTATTTCCAAATCTCTATTTGTATACAAATTTGTACTATAGGTCACAATTACAGATGCTTTCCAATACAAAAACCAATGTCTGTATGGAATAGCGTATAAACCAAGCAGGAACTGACCTAGCTGCAGGAGGATAGGATTTTATGGCAGGAATCTGAACAGCTGATCTTTGTGTTTCATGTTCAAAGTTTTGAGTTTATGACCTTTCTTACAATTGACTATGAAGTTATAATTACAAACCCCCAGCACTTGTGATAGTCCATTCTTACCGTTCCACAACAGAATCTTTGTTTTCCTCAGAGAATAAGTAGTGCTGAGCTATTATGAATAATTTTGACTGGAATAATTTGTATTTGATCTTGCACAAGAGCACCAGGTTCAGTACTTCAGGGAAATGCCTCCTTATGATGTAGAAGTAGCCCCCAGCAACCCCCAAAACAGTAGGACCAGACTCTAGCACCAGAACTACAAAAAAAGTTGGGGGATGAAAAAAAGAATCCCTTCCAACCCCTGAACCTCCCAGGCCAAACAGACTCTGGCTCTGAACTGCTCAACACAGTTGAATAATTCTTCAGTGTTTCATCTCCCACTATGGCAGTAAAGAATGTCCTGACTTTCAAGAAACTAATTAAAATTTTTAAAAAACCCAAACCCTAAGCCCCTGGAGGGCTCAGCATACTAAAAATACACCCTGAGGTGGTTACTGCATTATACACATACCTGGAGAAAGCAGGAGCAGACTATTAGTAGCCCAGCCAGCACAGGTGCTCTCCCTCAGCACAGGTGCTCTCCTTGCTTCAAGCTGTTGTCCCAGCACACAGGTCTGTTACTCCGTCATTCCCTCCACTCTCACAGGGGCAAATTCAACAAACTTGCAATCTCTCCACTGGTGCCAGCAGTAACGCAGCCAACACCAGGAGCCACAGAATTACAGAATACTCATTACAGAAACTGCTCCTCCAGTACAAAGGTGATTTTTCTTAATGAAAAAATGCCAACTGCCAATTACCTGTGCAAGCGGGGACCTCTTCTTTGAGTCCAGCTCAGCAGAGACAGCGATTTTCAGAGGTAGAGGCAAGGAAGCCACATCTTATTCTATTGTCAGTCTGTAGCAGCAGCAGCAAACAAACAGCAGTATGCCCCTTAAAAAAAGAATGTTCCTCTTCCCACTGGCAAAACAGACTTTTGCAAAGTCACTGGTAAGCCACAGTGACATTTTAGCTGGAAGGTGCTGGAATTTTTAGTGGTTAATCTGCTTTCTCCCAGACTTTACAT